AGAAATTAATGCTTTTAAGTAGAGATTTATTCCAGATTTATGTTTAGTTAAACTAAAATGTGCTAAATATGCATTTTTAAAGAATAAAAAAATTCAATAACTAACCCTAAAGAAATGCATTTCTGGATTTGTATAGATGTAATAAAATATTCATGTCACCATCATTTCTCTTTATCTTTATTGAAAGTCTATTTTCTCACGAACTTTGGATTTTCAGTGGTTTCAAGATTAAACTGTTGATATTTTAAAGAGGCAGAATTAAACAAGCCTCAGTGAGATAAATTTTGTCAGCCCCTATAGTTATGTTACCTGAGTGTTTTTTTTCCTTTCACAAACTTTTCATTTCATTGTTCATGGTAAATGAAACAAACTCTTTGTTGACAGAAAACTTTGCATGAGAGAAGATGGTAAGCAGCAAGTGTGTATTGTGGGGTTGCAAGAGTACAGGGTTTCAGATGTGGAGATGATCAAGGAACTGATTGATAGGGGAAATGCAACAAGAAGTACAGGCACCACTGGTGCCAATGAGGAATCTTCTAGGTCACATGCTATACTTCAACTATCGATTAAGAGGTCAGTTGATGGCAATGAATCCAAGCCCGCTCGAGTTATTGGGAAGCTCTCCTTTATTGACCTTGCTGGAAGTGAACGTGGTGCTGATACTACTGATAATGATAAGCAAACAAGGTAAATATTTAAGAGATATTTTCCTTTAGTCGAATCGATTCTCCTCGCCTTCCGGCTTTTATCTTGGCCGGCTATTGCTTCATCATATGAAAATATGAAAGACTGGGCTAATTCATTCTTCACCAACAAGTAAATCATTTTTTTTAATGTGAATTGTACTCCACAGAATTGAAGGGGCCGAGATAAATAAAAGCCTGCTCGCACTGAAGGAATGCATTAGAGCTCTTGACAATGAGCATGGCCATATACCATTCAGGGGAAGTAAACTAACAGAGGTCCTTAGGGATTCGTTTGTAGGAAATAGTCGAACTGTGATGATCTCATGCATATCTCCAAACGCTGGATCCTGCGAACATACTCTAAACACATTGAGATATGCAGACAGGTAATCAACTTGTCAATTTTATATTCAAAACATTAGTGATTATCATTTTTCTCGCTCAATGTTTTTAACTTCCAAATTTCTACAATCCACACAGGGTGAAGAGCCTTTCAAAAGGGGGAAATAACTCTAAGAGAGATGCTCTGTCTTCATCACTTAATCTGAGGGAGTCCACACCACTGCCTTTGTCTGCTGTAGTACCTTCTGTATCAACGTATGAAGATGACACGGGGCCAGAGGATGAGGAACTCTATGAAAGAGATATTCCAATACCAAAACCTGAGGCATTCAGCACTACTGTTTTAGAAGAAAAATCTCGTAAAGGCAATGAACAGCCAATGTGGAAAGAGCCAAAGTATTTGGCTTCTGGAAATGAGTTAAACGATCTGCTGAAGGTGACATGCTTCAATGTAGTCTATGAATTAAATGCCTGTTTTGCCCTTACATCCAAAGTAACTAATCCCATAAATTGAGGGTGAAATAATAGCACCTCATTGATGTCATCTAAAGTTGGGGTAGACCGGTACAAATATTTTTTTCATATATATTTTTACATTAAAAATATAAGCATTCTTCAAATTTGTGGTGGACTGGGCCTGGTCAGCCCCCCTCCCTACCCGCCCCTAGTCCGTCTCTTGCAAACTCGAGAGTATCATTTAAAGCCTCTTTTGCTGACTTACTTCGCTATGATTTGTATTTTATCTTTTCAGGAAGAGGAAGATCTTGTAAATGCTCACCGAGGATTAGTGGAGGAAACAATGGACATTGTTAAAGAGGTTTAAAACGTCATTAACCATATCATTTGTTTAACTACAGTATTACTATTACTATTATTACGTGATATGTTTCAATAAAACTTTTGCACCACTTGGAGAAATTGACATGCCTCTTACCTGTTTCAGGAAATGAACCTATTAGTTGAGGCAGATCAACCAGGGAATCAATTAGACCATTATGTATCTCAACTGAATGCCATCCTTACCCAAAAGGCTGCTGGCATCCTTCGGTTGCAAAACCGTTTGTCACATTTTCAAAGGCTTCTAAAGGAGCATGATGTCCTCTTATTGTCTTCATTGCCCCACTAGTAGGAAAAATTCTTATGTAAAGAGGAAACCTGAAACTCGACCATTCAAAATTCTACGGGTTGCAAAATTTGTGATTAGAAAGTTTCTGTATCATTTAACTTTGTCTTTTTTTTTTGGCGAGTAAAGGCTTGCTGGAATATATACAATTTGGTTATTGTCAATTGTCATGATACTTCTGAGATTTTCATCCGAATAAAAAATGTACGCAGCATCTAATGGTGTCATTACAATATGCATGCAAATGATGCAATAATATATCTTGGCATTTATCCCTTGAAAGATCTTTTTTTATTTTATTTTTTTGCTGAATTTTTTTTTTTATTAATGAAAAAGATAAGAAAATTACATGAAAGGAAAGTCAAAAGAAAAGAACACAAAAGGAGAATTGGAGAAATAGGAAAACAACTTAACAAGTAACAAGTGAAGAGAAAATAGATGAGAAATTGGCCCAACCCGAGGTATTGAAAAAAGCCCAACCCAAAAAAACCCTAAGACTTAAATACAAGGTTAGTATTCCATCTGAGTTTGAGATCGGGTCCTCATAATATGATGAGATCGTTGATACTTTTTTTTGTACACCTTAATTTGAGTGTTCAGATTCTCTATGACTATGGGTAGACATTTTTTTTATTGTGACCAACATAGCTTTGTTGCAAATATCATCATTCGTATCGGAGTCTCAAAGATCATCAATCGATGAAATAAGAGCTCTCTTCTCGCTCTCTGATGCATGGCCTAAAAAATCATCCCTCGACTGCGTATAGAATTGGTCGTTAAAGACCCCTTCACTCACAAAATATTCGGGTAAATAGTTACATGTGAAAACGTCCTCGATGTGTTGACATCTGGGTTTGCACAAATAGTAGTTTTCCCTTCTTCGGAAAGAACTTTCCGATTTTCTAAAGAGTCGGTAAGGATGCTTTTGAATTCTTTGAGTAGAAAATTCGAGAGAATCCACCCCGCTAGTCATAGCAGTCTGAAAAAAAAACAAAACCCTTAATGATTTCTAATGATGAGTCTAGGTCAGTTATTAGCTCAGATTTACTAGCTTCCTCAATAACAATCAACTCCAAAGAGTTAAATGAAATTGAAAGAATATCGACTTGTAGTAAAGCTTCCGAAATCGAAGAATCAATCTTACATGAATCCTCACATGTGTTACCTGATTAAGTCTCACAGGTGACTGGTGTAATTGTTACCATTGACTCATGAAGTGCGACCGTTTCCATCAAAGTAATTTCCCTTGTAATTCCTGACAAGAAAAGGTTTATTCTCAATGCATTTCTCTCTTCAGGAAGAAATATAGAGTTTATTCCATTTCCAGTTATTCGGAGAAAAAAACCTCCAAATATATTTGCATCACAAAGGATGGCAATGTACTTCTTCAGCTCTAACCTAGTGTGAGACCAAATACTAGGAAAAAAACTTGGGGATGGAGCCCTTCAACCAAGAAGCTTTTTCCACTTCAAGATCAATATAGAAATAATCTCATGCTTTGTTCATATACACACAATTCATTGCAGCTAATTGTATGAAAGCAGAAGCATTTACTTTCAATTGAAATTTCAAACTCTTCTGTTGTGACTTGTGAGAATTGGTTTGCACCTTACTTTGGTTTTCCTTTTCAGTTTGTTTGCCCTATATTCCTATAAGCAGTGAAGTTGTTCCACTCGTGAAAGATCAATTGGGTAGTTTTCGAGCAACAATTTAGTATTGTCTTTCAGCACACAAATATTATTATTCTGTCTCATTGGACTTTCTCAACTATCTTTATGTGTTTGTCTTAAAAACTTTGTTACTTTGGTTTTAAAGTAATGAATTTGTGTTTATGTTCATTTTTCTCCTTTGTACAATTTCTCACTTAAAAGTTTTAACCTTTAAGTCTTTTAAACAATATATGTAGTGATGTTTTTTATACCGTAAAACACATACATACTGCTATATAATAATGGAAGTGCCAATAAAAACTTTTAGTGTCAAGTTAATTGGATTAATGAGTCAACAAATACTTCGATAAAGACGTTTTTAATTTTTTCTAATATGGTGTAATCCTGTTTGGTGTGCTAAGCCTCAACATCTTAGGAACTCAAATGATAAGAAACAATAAAGAAGATGTCAAATTTGGTAAATAAGAACGTTTTAAGTAGACTATTTTTTTATCTGATTTGTTTAAGTCTAATATGATACGGTAGACTTAATATTCTATGTGCATTTGACAACTATTCAAGTCCAATTTGATCTGATCTAATCTGTTCTAATCTTATTTAAACTGTTCAAGTTTCATCTGATCTCGTTTGATTTGGGACATAAACATCATCACTAATGATGTTTTTACTTGGATTGAAATTTGCTAGTCTAGTCTGGTCTATTAAGTTTAGTCTAATCTGAACTAGTCTAGTCTGGCCTGATAAATGTCTGCTTTCTGTGTATTTTACCATTATCGAAGTCTAGTCTAATCTGAATTGGTTAAGTATTGAAATAAGTCAAAAAAAATATTGTTAGTGTCAAATACAACGTATGTCCCTCTATCATTGTGACATGAATTATGATTATTAAGAAAAAATTTGTTTATGTGGTTAATATTGAATTAATAAAGTAAGAATAAAATAAAAACGGTTTAATGCCTAATTTTTTTTAATACCAAATTTAGTATGACATCTCCTTAAAAAAAGAGACTTATTTATACCAGACTAAAACATATCAAATAAATTAACAAATTACGATTCAAATGAAAACATTCATGGTCACCATTTTATTATTTTATTTAATCATAAATTTAGAAATGATAGGAGACCGTATAAATTCAAGGTCTCTTCTTTTTCTCTGTCTTACTCCAAAGAAAAATGGTATCCTCCAAAGTTTCCCCCGGGTTTCCGACCTCCGTACCTGCGCAATTCCCTCCCTACCAACCCCTCCTCCATTCGGAACCCCAACAACCCCAGTACGTCATCGTTTTACCGCGCTCCCCTCGCCGCCGCCGTTCCTTCTTCGATCGGAACTGCTTCTTCTGCTCCGCCGTCATCATTCTCCTTGCAGTTTCCGTATTCCTCCTATGGCCCTCGAATCCAGAAATCTCGGTTTCCCGCCTCCATCTTCGAGGCTTCAAAGTCCACCTAATCCCGCCTTCCTTCGACATAACCCTACAGCTCACTCTGAAAGTCCGCAACAGAGACTTCTACTCCATCGATTATAAGTCTTTGGTCGTATGGATCGGCTACAAGGGAAAGATGCTGGGTAACGTCACGTCGGATGATGGGCACCTCAAAGCCAGAGCCTCTTCGTACGTCAACGCCACGCTTGACCTCCAAGGAGTTGAGATCTTCAGCGATGTGATTTCGCTAATCGAGGGCGTTGCCAAAGGTTCTATTACTTTAGACACGGTTACTCAGATTAATGGCCAACTCGGACTTTTCTCCTTTGATATCCCTCTGCAGGTAATTCCCATTGCCTTTGATAAGATCATTGATGTTATTGTATGAGTTAGTTTTAAAGATTTGAAAATGTGACATCTTTTATGGACAACATTTCCTATTAGAGTTTTTAAAAGTACATTTGTTGGTGATTTTTGTTATGATCTTATCTAATGAGCCATGAAGGCATGAAGACTTGATCTCTTATACATAAAGATATAATCTTTCTCTTCTTGTTTTGTTTAACTTGACATGCTATTTTTGATAGAATGACTTCAAGATAGTGCAGTAGCCAGTATGTACTTATTTAGTTTGAGCAATTGAAATTTCAAACTTAATGCTGTCAAGAATTGTCGATGTATATGCTGTTGGTCATAATTGCATTTGTATGCTAAATTGCTACGGAGTACTACTTAAACCGGCTATCACTTATAATTTTCATTCATTTTCTTTTTCCAAAACCAATCGTAAGCACTCCATTTTCCCATTGAAGTGTACTTGCATACCTTTAGATATTTTATGCTCTCTAGAGAAAACATGTATTTTTCTTTTTCTAGGCGCTACAATTTTTTTCCCATTCAAGAAATTCAAAGATGAGATTTATCCTAATGCAACTTCATGGTTGGTATAGTTGAATAGATCTAGCTCTGCAAAGGGTGAAATCCTAATGCTAAGGGATATGAAATGTACTTTTTGAATAATAATTGCGTGTGATGTGGATTTCCACTATGAGTACTCATTTTTTATGAATTTGGCTCCATTCTAACATCAGAAATGCTTCTTGTACACAAGTTGTACACAACTTGTACACAAATGTTGGTCAGAGGCAATACAATTTGTACAATTTGTGTGCTGGCACACGGGAGCTATCTGTGAGCACACAAAGTGGCCTGTGCATAGAAAACTCTTGTGTGTGTCCACATACATTATTTTTCGTGTCAAAAGTGCAGTCGTCACTGACACTAGCGTGCGAACCAATCTCTTTGTGTGTTTTCAAACAATAAGTGCCTGGCTATTTAGATGAATTTCACCACACAGACAATAGTTATGGGCGCACAGACAATAGATCAAAAAACAAGTGCCTGTCTATTTAGATGAATTTCACTACACAGACAACAGTTATGGGCTCACAGATAATAGTTGTCCGTGTGATCATTTTTATTACAAAGAAAATAGTTATGCTGCTCACAGACAATAGTTGTCTTTGTGATCAATTTTAATTTTCAAATGAATGATATAGTTGTATGTGTGCTCAATTTACATCAGTGTTGTCAATAGCGGCGCAATAGCGCGCTATAGCGGAATAGCGGTGCGGCAGACAGGGTAGGCGCTACATGGAGGGCTCTAGCGTGGCGTTTGGGTGTTGCGTCCATAGCGCCCGCTATAGCGCAGGTGCGGGAGAGAAAATAGCGGCCGCTAACGCGGCACGTTTTATGTTACAGAGTACTGCGCAGAATATGAGCCTTCTGGGAGGGATTTTAGCGTTAGATTTTTTAGCGCAGACATAGAAGGGTTAAATTAGACTTTTAAAACAATATTTTAACCTAATTAAAACCCATACACGTACGTTAAACGCTACTTAAAGCTCAAAACGAAGCCAGCTTTTGAAAATAGTCAGTGGCACCTCTGCGATGGCTTCTTCTCCCAGAACAACCATCATCTATTTCTGCTACTCTGCGATTGCTTCTTCTCCAAGAATGACAGATGCTGCCCTCCTCTGCTTTCAGTAGTATCTGACTATCTTCCGCTGCAACATCTTCTTTTCCAACCCGCAGCAGTCTTCTTTTCTTCTTCTTTTCGTATGAAGTCTAGTCAGTCTTCTTTTGACTCAATGTTTTGACTTAAGATGTTTAAATTATTAATAGTATCTTATATTTTACTCATGAAACTAAATAATATTTCTAAGTAATTTAAGTGGGTGAACCATCTAGTTTCAGTAGTTATAAAAGAAGAAGTTTAATATAATTAAGTATAATATTTCTAAGTAATATTACATATGCTTCTAGTAGTTACTTATCTATTATATTTGAAAGTACTCCAAATGGTTCTATAAAACTTAGAACCATTTAGTTTCAGTAACAAATAACAAATAATGACATGTATAGAATGTAAACAATTCGATTTATATAGATGGAGTTTTATATAATTAAGTATAATATTTCTAAGTCATATTACATATGCTTCTAGTAGTTACTTATCTATTATATTTGAAAGTACTCCAAATAGCGGTCATCCCGCTATCCGCTATACCGCTATAGCGTTTTGGGGGCTGCCCGCTCCGCTCCGCTATCTGGGATTGACAACACCGATTTACATGTAATTTGATTCTTTTTTTGAAAACATAGTAAGAATAGATGCAAATAGATAAATAAGTTGATTTTGTGTAAGTAATGAAAATAATTGGATATAAAAAAGTAGAGATGAAGAGGATGGAGAAGGGAAAAGGAGGATGAACAAGAGAGGAAGATGATCCAATCTTCTTTTGGAAATCCGAATGGGCTGGGAAGAAAGAGGGAAGAGAGAAGCCAGAGAGAGGGAAGAGAGATGGAAGAGGAGGAAAAAATGGGAGAATTGGATTGGTAAAATTTTAGGTTTATATAGTCTGTAAACTTGTGTACAAATGCAATTTTCCTTCAAACGTTACCTACATCAAAGTTTGGTAGTTCTATGCATTTATCGGTCAGGTTTTCATTGCCAAAGGTCGAGTGCTCCTCACTCTGCTGTAGTCATTCCATTCTGTGTTCTTAATGTTGAGTTTTCCTCGATTGTGTCAAATGTGCATAGATGATACTCATTATGTCTTGCCACAACTTGGTTTAAAAAAGCACGCCTGAGGCGCCATAAGGCGATCAATTAATCGCATCTTACACTCCCAGGCGGCGTAGGTTCCAAGAGGCGCGCCTTATATGGCGCTTTTTGACGCCTTTTGCGCGTTTGAGAGGCGCGCGCTTCTCACGCCTCATGGAACTTTCTTGGCGATTCAGTCTCTCTAGGCTTCTCCCTTTTTCCTTCTGCGTTGGCTTTGCTTCCTAGTTCCGGCATCCGCGTCCTGTTTCTTCCTTCTGCGTTTGCTTTATCGCAACTCCCTTTTCTTCTGCTGCTGTCTTGCGTCGCAGGCCAGGACTCACAGGGAAGTATTTTTTTTTCTTTCTCTTCTACTGTTTGTTCTCTTATGCGTGTGATAATTTATTAATTAAATATATATTATTTTATATTTTATTACCTTGAAATTGTAGAGTTAGTACCCTGTCGGTCTGTTCTAGATCATGCTGAGTAAGCTACCTAAAAATTTGTTTTTATTTAACAAATATATAAGACAGTTTTTATTATAAACAATTTTTATATAACAGTTTATTAATTATGTTTTGAAGTTTTAAGATTGAGTTTTGTGAATTAACTTTTGGCAATGATGCCGTTTAATATTTTTTTTGCTAAGGTCTTAATAAATGCTGGGTTTCTCTTATGATGTTTATTAAGATTGTGTAATAGTTTGAAGTATTTTTGTGATGTTATCACTTTTTAAGAAGAGTGTTTCATGTAGAAGTAGTATAAATATATTTTATCAAAGATATGAGGTTAAGATCTGTGAGGCGCGCGCCTCGCCGCCTAGCGCCTCACGCCTCGGGTAAATCAATGAAAACGCCTTGTGCCGCCTCGCGCCTTTTAAAACTAAGTGCCACAATTCATAATGCACTTCATATTAAACTCATTTATTCTTCCTCATCGTTTTTATGTTGCAGGGAAACGTGTCATGTGAGATTGTTGTAGATACAAATAACCAAACAATTTCTCACCAAAATTGCTACCCTGAGGTATCCCAATGGCTATTGTCTTGTGTTTTTGCATAAATTCCAAATTAAAGAGGCCTATAGTATCATTAACTACTGATAACTTTCTTTGATGCTCAATATTTTGTTGATGGTATTCTGAAACTGCAACTGACAGCGGGCTTAAACTTTGTTGCACAGTAATAACCTGTTGAGGGAGACCCGCTTGGTATTATATCTAATGAAAGGGACGGTCTGTAAAGCACAAAATGCTATAAGGAGTTGATGTATGGGTGTTTGACAAGTCGATACATGCAACAAGCTGTGACACATACCTCTTAAAAGTAACATTCTTTGCACTTCTTTCGATTTTGATATGATGTAGGTCTGCCCTTGTCCAGACTCGCATTCACATACAAGTGTCCGTGGCCATGTGGGTGCTTCGCGGAATTTGGGATGTTAACATTTGGGGATTATTGTGACTTTATTGTCCCGACTGTAGCTTGTACATAAGCTTGTTTATACCTTCAACTCTTCGATACCTCTTTATTTTCTTTTCCTTTGGTGTGTATAATAATATAGTATTGTTAGGGTTGGGGTGCTCTTTTGCTGATAGAATGTAGTATATTATAGATTTATACTACGTAGTTAATATGATGAAAGATGAAAAACTATGTAACTAAAGTCAGCCGGCCGTAGAATCTCTTCATTTAATTCAACTATGTAACTGTGAAGAAACGGTGGTGGTGCTCTTTTGCTCATGCCAAGGAAAAACGTTATGGGGCTCAATCTCTCTTCGCCCCGTCAATGTGTTAAAGTTGTTTTTGAAATTAAGTTGTTGTTATAACTTCCACAATAATTAAAGTTGAAATTAAAGTTCTCCTTCACTGTATCATTAGCATTAGAACTAATTGTCTCCAAATTATGAGCCTTATAGTCTCCAACTAATTGTCTCCAAATACTCTCTACTTGGCGCCGTCAATGTGTTAAAGTTGTTTTTGAAATTAAGTTGTTGTTATAACTTCCACAATAATTAAAGTTGAAATTAAAGTTCTCCTTCACTGTATCATTACCATTAGAACTAATTGTCTCCAAATTATGAGCCTTATAGACTTATAGTCTCCAACTAATTGTCTCCAAATACTCTACTTGGCGCCGTCAATGTGTTAAAGTTGTTTTTGAAATTAAGTTGTTATAACTTCCACAATAATTAAAGTTGAAATTAAAGTTCTCCTTCACTGTATCATTACCATTAGAACTAATTGTCTCCAAATTATGAGCCTTATAGTCTCCAACTAATTGTCTCCAAATACTCTCTACTTGGCGGTGAGCTCAGAGCAAACAACAAATACATCGTTTGTACAATATCACTCACTTTATCGATCTCTCCTTTTTTTCTCTAGTTTGAGCTTCATATATCTACCCATAAGTGTTTTGAAATTTACGAATTGATCAAGTTGATCTAATCTGAATCCAAGCGTCTCTTATATGATACTTCGTACCAAGAAATATGCACAGTTGGCACCCAGTGCGTGTGAACCTTTGTGATATGATATGGATCTGCGAGTACGAGGAGTTTGTGATATGATATGGATTTGCGAGTACGAGGAGAGAAAATACAGTTAAAATTTACAATGAAAAAACTCATGTTCGTTGTATGATATGGTATGGATCGCTATTCGGGAAGAGAAAATGAACGGTTTGAACTGGCTTGATGGAGAAGTAAGCTAAATTTAGGATATTCTCTCCCAATTTAGGATATTCACAACCGGAACCCCCATCCGGCTGCCTCCGTTTGAGGTGCTTTTCAGTACAATTTTTTGATAAAATTTTGTGAGCATATTTTTCATGAATTATAGATTATGTGCACAAAATTTCAGCTTAAAAATCAATCGGTAAGTAAGTTAAATAAATTATAGAAAAACATTGTGCCAAAATATATATATAAAAAGCACAATTATTGAGGTTTATTTCTCTCAGTCCAAGGGTTCAACACTTTCCATTGGACTTTCATGGAATTTTAATGGACCAGTTGTATTTTAGTGAGGGGTAATTCTATTTACAAACACCATTTTGCTATATACAACCCCCAATTGATTTAGATTCCAATATTACCCTTTAACATAACATCTATGCAACTATTTCTCCATTCTCCATTTTAGTTCACCCGCGAGGCAACACAGTGTTCAAGCTGAAGACTCTCTGGAACCATGGCTTCCTCGACACAGCCCCATTCACAATTTAATTAAATAGAACTACTTTGAATACTGATTCTAGCCTTTTGATCTTTTCCTCTCTCGGCTTTAAAACTCTAGTCACGGACGTGGAAATGAAGGGACCAGAACATAGGCCAGATGTTGTAGAGATCAAAGACCAGCATAGACCGGAAGCTCTCTAATCGTTGCGGAAGCTCTCAGCAAATCCGGTCTTATCTGCACGATTTTCAACTTTCCCTTGCTTAAATTCCTGTATGGCCTGAGGTAAATTTGTCGTTACAGTGCCCGTCTTTGAATTTGGCATGAGTCCGAGGACCCTAGATTCTTCCTAAACTCGCAACCTTAGGCATCATATCTGGAGTTGCAATTAATTTTTCAAAATCCATGAAACGTCCTTTTATTTGTTCTATCAAATCGTCACCGCCAACAAGATCAGCTCCTGCATTTTTTGCTTCATCTTGTTAGAGCAGAATGACAAAGCTTTGAATGGAAGACTGTGGGTGCATGAATAGAGTTGTTGTTGAATAAGTGAAGTGGATAGAGTTAGAGTAAAAGGTGTTGCCGAGGAAGTCATGGTTCCAGAGAGCTTCAGCTTGAGCACTGTGTTCGTCTATGGTTTATAACAATTGGGTCCTCTTATAATGGCGAATGGAGAAATGGTTGCATCGATGTTATGTTAAAGGGCAATATTGGAATCTAAATCAATTGGAGGCTGTATATAGCAAAATGGTGTCTGTAAATAGAATTACCCTTTATGAGCTATCTAGATGATCATGAGACAAAAACAGTAGTAAGAAAGAGTACGAATGTAAACTGGGCCAAATTCTATAGATAGTTCTATAGTATGAATGTAACGGATCGGTGCCGCCTAGGTCTTGGCCCTTCACCAGCCTTCTAGATTTGTTTACTCGTGGGGGTATTGGGCCCGCTCCGTGCTGGGTCATTTACCCCAATAATAGTGGTTTTCAATAGTTTGTTTAACTACTTTAAAAAAGTTTATTTAACTGATTCCCCGCGAACCACCTCAAATGGAGGTAGTCGGATGGAGGATCTGTGTTAACAAGATCCTTTTCCATGGTTCAATGTGAATTGATCTCACTAAAATAAGAATAAAAAAGGATACATGCAGACAAAATAGTTAATAATTGACCTATTTGTTGACCATGTTTTTTATCAACCAATTTATTCATCAAATTTGTAACTTTTGATTTTGCGCACGAGATCGTATAAAAATCAAAATAAGTAATGTTGGAGATACATGTTTACCAAACACATATCATTTTAACTATTTTTTAATACAACTTTTCTTTATTTTTTTAATAAAATATATTATATATGTATACTCATGACACAGTTCCCGCTGTTATCAAATGGGTTATATCTTATTTTAACCAGTTCCCGCTGTTATCAAACGGGTTGTTAGTGTGGTACCCATACACCATCAATAATAATATTATTTGTAGAAAATAAATTTGAAAGGGAAAAAGTATCAACAACCACACACATGACACATCCACACAATTTGTGAAATTCCTATTCTGCGACAACAAAAAACAATTAGTGGCAGACAGAGTTTTTGAAGAGCAATTGTATTTTCTATCCACAAATTCACCAAATAAAGTTCCCTATGTACTACTTGTGATGTAGTCCTAATAAAAGAGAATTGATTTTTATAAATATACAAATAGATAAATCAGAGTAATGATTATAGTAATGAAAAATGAACAGTCCGTTGGGACGCCCAAAACACGCTCCAGAAAGACCGTTGAGACTTGAGAGTTGAGACACGAGGTTGGTCTGTATAGACAGGGGCGGACCGTAGTAGAGATTCAGAGGGCTACCGCCCTCTCAACATTTTTTTTAGTGTATATATACACAAAAAAAAAATCACCCGCCTCAAAAACTAATTTTTGCCTCCAAAAAATATTTTGAATTTAAGAGATGCTGTAACAAACATTTTAGGTACGTATTTCTTGATTTCTCCCCCCTTCCTTCAATACTGTTTTTTCTCTTATGTCTCTAATTCTATTTTTCCAAAGAAAGTCAAAGAAGGTCACCATTTCAGTCGTTGAAAAATGAAAATGGTCATAAGAGTATAAGAATCATAACTAGTTATTTCACTCGTTGATAATAGCTAGGCGTGCAGATTATCACAAAAAATAATGAGTGTATGAGTAACCTATTTCAACAAAAATAGTGGTAAATATATCTCACGTACATCAGCTAATATATGAACTAATGAACTACAACATAGTAGTACGTATGATATACTCATCATTCTGATATCCAACTACTCATCCTATTAGGTTGATCTTTAAAATTACTCTTTGGTCTTAAAATGGATGATATGATCATGACAGTCAAATCAATCAACGACCATGGTGTGAGCCCCATATGCAAAATAATGACGACATTGAAAATTGAAGACGGACAAATCAATGAAAAAGAAAGAATAATAGAAATATTATCAGACGAAGTGTCTTGTCATGATACGGGGTGCTGAAATATTACCCCACAACGTACAGTATTATACTCGTATGAACTAATGAACTACAATATATAGATGGATATCGAGCTACTGCTCCTACTAAATATTAGATCGTCAATTTTAAAAATATAATTCAACGGAAGAAATTTAATAATCCATGTTGATCTTCAATTTAATTGCTGTTGCGCACTTGCACAGCTGCACTGCCGCTTCTTTAAACCTCCAGAGTCTCTTTGGTGACTATGTTTTTCAGCTTATCTGACTTATCAACTAACTTTTTAACTAAACATGTAATTTTTTATTTTGCACGTTGAATTATGTAATAATAAGAAAAATAAGGTCATTTTAGATGCATTGATTAAAGTTACTTTAGATGGTCATTTTAACTATTTTTTCATGTAAATTATTCTTTATTTTATTCATAAAATATGTTTTAAATATAAATTTATCATAAATCAGCACAATCAGCCAATACAGCTACTCTAGCTAGAACTTCATAAGTTTCAGCAGAATCAACCGATTTCGGTGTTACCAAATGGATTCACAATCAAATTAAGGTGAGACACTTGTAAAAACAAAGTATTTTCCTTAATACTATCACAACAGATTATCTTTAATTGGAGTCGTGCATGTTTTCTGTTTATTCTCATTGTAGAAGTAATCAAAACTACTCATTTTAATATAATGAGTTTTTTTAGAATAACATTATCAAATTAAAATATATTTCCACAAAATAACACAAGGGAGAAATAATTCAAATACCCCAAACTCTGAAGTGATGTGATGTAAATACTTCAAACTTGCATGTACTCCGTATAATTTAAACACGTCAAACTTTAATTTACATAAAAAGTTATTTTAGCACCATGGTCCTATATTAATTTAAAATTTATAGTCATATAATTTATGGGTGAAAATTATATGCTCATATATGGTGCTAACATAACTCTTCAGATAAAGTTTGAGATATTGAAATTAAATATACAAGTTTGGGATATTTACATTATATTCCTTCAAAGTTTGAGATATTTTAATTATTTTTCCCTTCACACAAATGTGACTCATAGTTACTTCAATATAGTGTCATGGTAATTTAAGTTCAAAAAACTGAACATATGTTACTATGATTTCATTACTACTTTAATCATTAATCACATTTTTATAAACAATATTTACTTTAGTCATAAA